TCACCTATCATATTTCAGATTGCACATACACATACGTCACGTTTAGTTTCAATTTACATATATATTATATAGTTTTAGCGTCCTTGTATCATATTGTATATACACCCGTTGAAGGCTACAGACTGGTAGCCGAAAGCTTGTGATTAATAAATATATTAACCAGAGAACGTCTCATCTTTTCATTATGTCTAATCCTGGTTACACATCTAAGATTTTCAACTGTATTGTCTTTCTAAAACGTAGCAATACTGGTATTATGGTTGGTTACACATGCATATATATAATTATAGCTTGAACACTTCGATCTAAAAAAATACCCTCATTTAAAAAAAACTAATTATATTCGATTTATTGTTTATATAGCAGGATTGGTAATATTTGCTAACATAAGATAGAAAATTAAATGCATAAACCGTCATTTGAACGCCTGATGTCAAACGAACAACACCGTTATCACAGAAATAAAAAAAAGTACAAATTTCCGCACCGGTACTATGACACCAGATAAGTACTACATTCCAATGTGTATCATATCTTCTTGTAATATCGACTTAAACCACAAGTCACACCTATACAATCTACCGGTGTGTAGTACGGTAAAGCTGTTTCGATTTAGAACCCACAATTTTTGTTCTTTTAATTTCTCAAAGAACATTTTTGGTCTTTTTTCGGCCATGTTCTGTCCAATCATGTATAACCGTCTGATTCACCAGAATATCGTAAAAAATCGTTTTTTTAGCAGCAACCACGTTTTTGAAAAGCTCAAAACATGAACTGTGAAGATAAATACCCTTTTCCTTTACGTATTCCTCAAACAATTGTTGCCATAACATTTTGAAATCTTTCAATGAACAGTTAATAAACTGGTTGTATAAATTGTGAAAAACAGCAGGAGCCGTATGACCTATATGTATGACATATTCACCATTAAAAACACCGTTCTGGGTTTCCTTCAACAACCATATTTTAAACCGTTGGATACCCCTCATATAACCTATTTGAAATATATAACCATCATTTTCACCAATTATTTTGTGTATCGTCACATGATAGTCAATATAATATAGTTTATCTTTATGATATAACACACTACTACCCATTAGTATATAAATACACTTTTTTGTTATTAATAACGTGCAAAAATGGGACAACGCAACTCGACAATGGAGTATTAGAGTTATTAGCTATACAAACAACAACTGTCTTCACATCCAAACATTTACCCCAATTACATAAATCACGCATTATCGGTGTCATACTAGAGATTGACCATATATGGGGTTGACCATATATGGCTATTGTATGATTACTTCTATATATCAGATCTACATCATATACTCATATACTTGAAGTATAGTGTCATTATTATAATATAATGTAAACATATATTTATTACCCACAATATTTAAACTTAACGTACGGGTAAAACTAATTAACATTCCCTGATATATAGCTGTTGTTTTATTCTTTTCCAATCTGTATAGCTTCTCAACATTCATCATTGGTTAGATATCCGTAGTCGTATTGTTTTTTATATTTTAAATTTGTCAAATTTTGAGCGTAGTTGTATAATGAATATGGCGTTGAAAATAATGCGTACCAAATCAAATCGTCAGCTATATATATTCGATGATATTTTGCCAGATAATACCCAATGTCTGTTTGTAAATAGTCAATAGTGTTAGGGTAGTGTAAAAACGTACTATTACACTCCCTAAAAAAAATCCAACATCCGTTTAATCAAAGAGTCCACACCGTCCGTGTATATAACCGACGTTGGCAAAGGTACAATAAGCATAAGCGTTTCCTCATTGTGTTTCTTCTTTACGGTACGATTTATCCGGGTTTTTTTTTTTACAAAACTAACGTTAAAAACCACACTATCCTCATCACAACTCACTAACTTTGTAAAACACAAGCAAATTGGGTAACACCCACCATTACTTATCGCCTTCATAATTAAATCATCAAATAGTCATCCCACCCTAACCAGGGTTATAAGCAAAAGCATTAAAAAAATAACTTCATTCACTACGTCACAATGCCGAAATACTATCCAAAACGTTTGCACAACGCTTATCAATATGGGGGTAATTTTAGAGGGCGAAAATATCAATGAGGAAAAAAAAAACAAGATGGTGGTTTTTTAGGTAAACTATTAGGTTTAGGTGGTGGGGGCGGTGGTGGTAAAAAATCACAACCCATCAATTTAAATGTAAATCAACGTCAATCAAATTCTATGAACGCAAATAGACGTAATGGCTCTCAATCTACGTACACGAGTCGCCGATCACCCCCATACTACTATAGGCCATGTTCGCAACCATATTACTACGAACCACATCGCCAAGTCCAGCCGCATCCACGAAGAAAACGTGGGGGTAGGTAAGAAAATAAATAAAAAATTATTTCTTTCATTTTTTGTTTTTCGGCAAAATAAATAATTATTTTTTCCTCTTTCTTAGATAAACAACAAGGTGGAAATTGGTGGATGTTAATGTTGTAAATTTATTTTAGTTTAATTCAATAAATGTTTTACTAAAAAAAAACTACACTATTGTACAATCTTTTGAGTCCATGTCTTTAACAAGCAGACATTTGCGTGAAACTCTACACCTGTACAATAATTGACCCCGCATAGATATCTCATTGAATATATATTTTATAACGCCTCTATGATGACATATTTTAGGAGGGTATATAGTTAATTGTCTTTGTTTGTTCACAATCCACATATGCATAAATGTCAACGAATCCTTCTCATGAAAACACACACTGCAGCCGCCTCCAACTCTCGGACAACTGTACATCCCATACTCGTATATACACCTTCGATCACATAAACATTTAATCATATGTCGTTTACCCACAATTTCCGGAACTGAAAGTTCAACGTCACAAACATCTTCTGCGCACACATAAAACAACTGCGGCTCGTTATCCAAACCCGCACTACGTAAATACGATGGTGGTGCAGCATAGTTAACACGTCTCAAAACTGCTTTTGTTTGCATACCGCACAAACATTTATCACAATACAACATATAAAAAATATACGCTTGAACACCGTTCATAATCATCCAATACTTATAAACATCGTCATAAGCATCAATATCAATCCACAAAAATACCCGCCACTATCCTCACTTATCCAATTTTTATCCCCACAAACATAATGTGCATACATAACGTCATTCATTGCCACGTAACCAATGAAATTTTATCTTCACAGGCACATTCTAATCTTTCACATGTCCCCTTTCAACATGTTTTACCATCCCATGATTTACAAGTACTACAATCACACCATATCTTCCTCACCCCTTCCATTTTCACACGACATTAACGACAGCAACAGCAGCTATAAAATTATACACATGAAAAACAACAATTTAACCGAAAAACAAAAAAAACCTGGTGGAAACGACTTAACAAAAAAAAAATGTTCAAGTCAACCTCCTGAAAAAACACAACACAACAGGATAGAAAAAAAACCCAACCTCCTCTTAAAAAAGCAAAACCTAGCAGAATAGAAATAGATGATAAAAAACCATTCTACTGTTATCGACAGATGAAAGACGTTGATGCTAAATGCTGCAAACAGTGCAAAGAACAAAGTGTTGACTTTAAATTTATGAAATTTTAAAACCATGTCGAAAAGAAAATACGAAGAAGAAGACAACTTTTCATCCTCTGACGATGATATGAAGATGTATTTTGACGATACTAATAATTATGTGTCTGCTGAACAAACTTGTAAAAACGTAAAAAAAATGTACTACAGAATTTAAAAATGCTATGAAACATTTAATAGATGAAATGAAACTAAAACAACCTCATAAATTTAAACAATAAAAAGATTTTTTAATATGTACAATGTTTCTGTTCATCAAAATAAGAATTTAACAAATCGTTATCAGATTGTGTTTGACTCGCAACATGTAGAAAACATATAAAATCGTCTAGTACAGTATCGTATCCGCAGCCTAAATGTGCACCGGTATACATTAAACGCGATATGTCCTCCTCGAAACGATGATGAATCCCAACTACGCCATGGCCCTTCATTTTCGATTTTCGGTTTAAACACCACAAATGCCAATGAATGACGTATTTTTTCAAATTGTTTTTCACTTTCATCCCGCGATTACATCAGCTCTTCAAAAGTAGGATGATATATACAAGGTGGTTCAACCTCTAAATCGTTATCGCTATCACCATTCACAGCTGTAATAGAACAAGTCTCAATGTCTTCTTCTTGTTCCATAGTAATGTTTTGTAACTCCTCGCATACATCTTCCATGTTATTTGAGGCCATTTTACGGATATGACCATATATGGTTATGGTTATGCTGCAAGTCTAATCAAACTATACAAATAAATACAGGATCCAAACATTTTTATATCATTCTATATCATGGCTTACATTGATATAAGTGATCCAAATAATGTTGCGATACGACCGTTGGATACAAATCGTCGTATCATTTTATTTAATGCTACAATATTCCTGCTATCAATTATTTTACAACCGTTCGGTACAGTAATCGACAAAACAACGGGTTGCTGAATAAAACTCTCTGCAAATATAACGAAAACTATACATTTTCCTCAAAAATTACAACCTGAACAAGCTTTGGAACTAATCACGGTATGTGCTATTATTATTTATTTGCATCAGTCATCTTTACTACAAAAAATAATAATCCAAACCGTTTTTATTTCCATAGCGTGGCCCTCCTGAACTTTGCTATCGTGATTTTGTCAAAATACAAAATGTTGATTGGTATACAAAACAACGAGCCTGTGAAAACACATTTTTTTACACAATCAAGGTATTATTATTTTTTTACAACAACAAATGAAACTAATACAACACATTTTATTTATTACAGTCTTTTTTTTTACAGTTGGACAAAGTTTGAAAAGTTCCAAGTCTTCTTTATTATAGTAACAATTATATTTTTCATAGCTTCAATAATATGGATATATGTTAGTTGTTAAGATGTCAAATACATATTATCAACATATTCATCTACATCTTCATATTGTTGAACTGCACGGGTTTTTCTATGATAACGTCTTTTCTCCATAGCCATATAATACATTTTTTCACAATTAACATCGTCGGGATGCGTACACTCTAACGATTCATCCTCATTCCACGCATTAAACACCTCTTCATAAATTGCATAAATACTATGAAAACAATGTTTCTGTATCATCTTTTCTCACAAACACTCCCGTTATCTCCAGTGGTGGAGATGATTGCATGCTTTCTCTTTTTTTCGTTATACTGTTCGCGAATGTTAGTCAAATATGAAATATCATACCCTGACACTATTATTTTATCTACAAACTGTCCAATATACAAAACTTCATTTATATGTTTATTTTTAGCAAGACAATTCCAAAATTGTAAAACATAAAAACGATCGTATAACTCTAAATTTTTTGTAAACGGTAAGCAAACACCTGAAGGTATAATATCATGCAACACAATTTCAAAATCAACAACGGGTATTTTAACAACATAAAGCTCATTATAACCACAAAAAAAAGAAATTTTCACACACATGCCCAAATATGTTTAGATACAAATATGTATGTCCACTATTTAATTTGTCTCGCTTTTTTGCCAACAACACTTCTCGTTTGATACCGGCGGTCTTCAAGTTCTTTCTAAAATAAAAAAAATGGATGCTTATTGGTGTACTAAATGTAATAACGAACATTGTGTACATAGGTGTGGGTATAAAACATTTAACAAGATTTTCTGTTACGAATGTCGTGCCACACTATACTACAATGAAATAACAACACAAGCGGAGTCACGGTTTGGACACAAATTTAGTGCTACAGGTCTTTCTTATTTCTCAACACCTACTACGTATCAATACGTACATATAAACAGCGGCATACGTTTTCGCAACGGTTCCACAGATGCGGACACAGCTGGTGCTTACTGGTTAGCGTCATTGGACCATTTAGAATCAGAAAAAAGGAATTAAAACTAAACTTGGGATTATTGGGTGCAAATTTAAAAGGTAAAAATAAAAAAATAACTAACTCGTTTTCTCCACGCTTCTACATCTGCTTGTGCAGCTTCACGTTTTTTCTCAACCACCTCTAACTTATACCAGTGGTCAATATTAACACCCGTCCATTTTTCCAAGTTATCTTTAGCACTTTTTTTTCCTTCTCTACATCACCCACACGACAACCTTTTGCTTCTACATTTTTGTAAAAATTCCCCATACCAACACTGAGCGGGACCGATATATTTCGAAGTAATTGTAACTCCATTTGTGCAATCAACACACTGTACAACAATGCATCATGCTGAATCGATGAGGGTATTAATTTTTCTTCGACCAATTTAGCACATAATATTTCTATATTGCACTCATTCCGGAGGTGGAATACAATTATGTGGTGGGGGTATACAAAATGTTTTACCCTCCATCCATTCGCTACACGTTTTTTCCCATTTATACACAACACTTGTATCATACCCTGATCGTGACATTTTAATTCCTCCTCTCAAAAATCTAACAATCTAATATATATAAAACATACTAACCCTAATTTGGTCATGCCCAAATATAGTCAACTACCTTCAATTTAAAAAACATAATAACCCTATACCAAATATAGTCAACTACCTTATTTTCATGTTCCATTTTAATCTTTAACGTTTCTAAAGTGTTATTAAATTCTCTACTATTAAAAACAGTATCCAACCGTTTATCTAATAAACGTAAACTTCTATCGTTAGTTACTGTCATCATTCTTGAAAAAATCTTGCCAACTGAACTAGATACAGTGTAACCAATACACCTGTATGATGCAGAACTTCTTGTATGACATCCATATCATCTTTCACCGTATCACATATGTTTCTGCTAAACACGTATTCAAAACGCGAATCAATTGTCTCACCACCCAATACAAATATTCCCCTAAAATGATCATTTGACACACCAAATTTGTGCTCAGGTTTGATGCTCTTGTTTACCAAAACCAGTGATTCTACACACTTTATTTCCTTATAGATTTCTGTGAATTTGAGCAGGATTAGATTTTATATAATGTAGATAGTTTTTATGAAGGAATATGTAATTTTCGACATTCTGGGAGTATCTCTAGTGTATGCTACGGCAAAAAATACTTTTCACAATGTGCGAAACCTTCAATCCGCACGAAACTTTGGCCAATGATTCTTGAAAAGATGCACTTTCTAATGATATGTATATTTCTTTGGGCAAATAAAATTGTACAATGCTAGAGCCTTTTGAAAACTGCTAAAATTGCATTAAATCATAACCTTCATAAGCCAATGTTATTTATAGCACAAACACATTTTTCCGATTTAACATAACATATATATTTACACATTTTAGTCTTGTGAAATTAAACAGAAATATAGGCCTATACTCACTTATGTAAATCCATTAAGGTGCCTCAATCAGCTGTGAATTTGATTCAACTGTAATTAAAGATTTCCTAAATATGATGAATATTTAGGGTTCCTGCACCGCCGTAGTGAAGTAAACAACATGAATATGCTAATTATACCTTGAACAGGGCGGTTATCTTGAGGGAGAGGAAAATTTGAATATATAAATCAGTTAATAAAATATAAGTAGTAAGTGAATACATGAAAAAAAAAATCATGGAAGCTTGTTGCTCCTTTAAATCAATTGTTGGTGGAATTTGCAGCTTGGATTTGAGAGACCTATAGCATGCAAAACACTCAAATTATTCTTAAATGAATCACCTGTAATTATTATAATACATAAACCTGTAATTGGACGTTTCTAGATCTAATAATGCTGATGTTTGCGCCTGCTGTAATATAATAATTTAATTATACCTGATCCAACTGGAACTAGCGAGCCTGTATGTTGTAAAATAACTGCTGATTCTAGTTTTCCTAGACCTTGCTCGCCTTTATAGGCCATCCTTTGCCTGTTCCGTGCTGTGAAATACTTTCAGGGACTCTATACACCTAGTAGTTGCACCTCTGCTCTGCTCCAGCTCAAACCAAATGTCGAGCTTTTTTTGGATTGAGATGTTCCAATGTGAATGTAACTTCATCCTGACTTAATTTTCTAAACTCTAAACCTGCATTGGGATTTGTTTGAAAAGTTTCGCATATAACTTTCACACTATTATGATAATCATGGTCTTTCTCTGTAAGGTTGTTGACATGATCTCCTCCAATACTACATGCAGCTGTATTGAAGTAATCGGGCAAGTAGTTCTGCAACTTCATATTCGTTTGTTTTCACCGTGCTTTCATCTTTGATTTTATCGCTAGCAGCAGAAAGCAAATAGTATTTTTATGGTTTGAAGGGAAAACGTGGTTTAAAAGGATTTCGTATTCTGCAAATGATCGGTTTTCTCAAATAGCTATATATACTGTAAATCTGTAATAGATTTTGAAACGCGAATGAGATTTAGTGAAGAAAAAACTACCCATGACTATTAACTCATGACATATGACATAAAGTGACATGTCTATATTTGACGTACGGTATGTGCATAATGATAAGCCCACATAATAAATAGCTAGTTGCGATAAATATTAGAATATATGGACAAAACAAACTTTGCGAACTCGTTACTAGTTAGAGGATATATATGCCGGAATATATAGAGGGTGTATTATACAGACACAAAATGTATATAATTAAAATAGCTATATATTGATGCGGTATATATTGATGGAATGATTTATATCGATGTAATGTATTTGTGACCATTCCACAAATATATTTCACAAAGGTTTATTATTTACGAGATACTCTAGATAACGTTTAGAAAATAGAATATAGAATTTTGGAAGACAAATAGCTACCCTTACCAGACTGACAGATATGTGACAGATATATGTCACAGTTCTGTAAAATATCTGCAAAATATATGTACGAAAGTATCTGTCACATATCTGCAACATATAGGAATTTGGCCCCATAACATATCTGTCACAGTTATGTGACAGATATCTGTAACAGTTATGTGGCAGATATCTGTCACAGTTATGTGGCAGATATCTGTTACATATCTGCAACATATAGGAATTTGGCCCAATAACATATCTGTCACAGTTATATGACAGATATCTGTCACATATCTGCAACATATAGGTATTTTGCCCAATAACATATCTGCCACAGTTATGTGACAGTATAGTTTCCATACAGAGAAAATTATCTGCATATTATCTACCAAACAGATACATATAAACATAACTGCCACCAAGTGAGATTTATCTCTTGCATAAAACTATTTCCTCTTCTGCAACATCACGTTGCTGCAACTGTACCTCTGTCATGTTCACTTGAAGCCATAAATAATTTAATACGAAGAAATATTAGATCAGAATAGTAAATGTATTTATCAGTAAATATATAATTATAGCTTACACATATAGATAAATTTAAGACTGTACAATCAATTTTTCTCCAGGGGCCAGTTGTCCAAGGCTGGATTAGCTTAACCCTAGGTTTACCTAAAATTCAAAGCAAACTTCCTGACAGCTTGTCTATAAATTTGGAAAGATTTTTCAAAGATCTTGTCTGGATTGATAGGAGTTTTCTTCTCTGAAGTTTTGAAATAAACAGGCTAAATTTTAACCCAGGGTTAGCGCTAGTCCAGCATTGAACAACCGGCTCCTGGGGCAGAGTAATTACACTTGCTATAACCTACACTAATTTAAAATTTCCTAATATTATATAATTATATTTATATACATGGCCAGAAATAAATAATGAGTACCTAAAAGTCATTAATTGTTAATGTCAAGTCTCACTCAGCTGGTTTGCTTTTAGTTCAAGCCCCACAGCACCGTGTACTGCATAACAGCTGTCTTTCCATAGACTGTATCATCCAGAACAAAAGCTGAAAAAATAGGAATTGATAAAATCAGATTTATTTAATATGTTTTAGATTTAATTGGCATTGACAGGAAGAATAATCTAGATAGTGTTAGGCCAAATAGGGGGGATACCCTTAGGGTAGCCATATCTAATGGGTTACGAGGGTAGCCATATCTAATGGGTTACGAGGTATATATTGCCGAATAATTAACCATCTACAATCATGGAAATTAATTCGTAGACTTTTCAAAAATTTCCCAATTTCCCCCCCCCCCGTTTACAATGTTGGTTTGTGGTCCAATAACCATGGTTTGA